CAAGCAATTCTCCTGCCTCAGCCTCCTGAGTAGCTGGGATTACAGGTGACTGCCACCACACCTGGCTAATTTTTATATTTTTAGTAAAGACCAGGTTTCACCATGTTGGCCAGGCTGGTCACAAACTCCTAACCTCAGGTCATCTGCCTGCCTCCCAAAGTGCTGGGATTACAGGTGTGAGCCACCATGCCTGGCCTCAGATCTTTTCCAGGCCTAGGCATTGCCAGGCGGGTGGGCCTTGGGAGGAGAGTGTGGGATGCTAGATGAAAATAAAGATGGCGCCTGGGAGCAGGGAGGAGCAAGCCCCAGGGCAGCCACTTGGACTGGATCCCCTGAAGTTCGATGACTCTGTGGACAATAGGACAGGCACAGAAGATCCTTTCCTTCATGGGTAGGCCACATTGTTTCTACTGGCTACAATTTAACAACTTTCACATTATTATTTCTTTAATATTTGTCTTTCCTAATAGACAATAAGCCCCATGGGGGCCTGAAACATGTACCCACCAGGCCCTGCACAGGACAAGAGAACAGCACATTGTCAGCCCTCAGTAAGAGTTCATCTGATGAATAGGCACTTAGATTTTAGATACATTTGTAGATGATTTGGAGATAAACAGCTGCACATGTTAGGAGCTCTTTGATAGGGCTCTGCAGAGGCCTGGGATACTAAACTGGGCCTTAAAAGGGTCTGGGTTTTTTGGTTTTTCTTGAGACAGAGTCTCATTCTGTTGCCTAGGTTGGTGTAGTGGCACGATCTGAGCTTACTGCAACCTCCGCCTCCTGGGTTCAAGCAATTCTCTGCCTCAGCCTCCCAAGTAGCTGGGACTACAGGCACGCACCACTATGCCCAGCTAATTTTTGTATTTTTATAGAGACAGGGTTTCTCCATGATCTCCAGGATGGTCTTGAACTTCTGACCTTGTGATCTGCCCGCCTTGGCCTCCAAAAGTTCTGGGATTACAGGTGTCAGCCACTGTGCCTGGTCAAGGCTCTGGGTTTTAAAGGGAATCCAGCAGTAGAAAGGATGTATTTTAATGAAAATACAACCCTAGGGCTGCTATGCAACTTGGCTAGTAGGCTTCAATTGCTTTTTCATGGTGGATCTTATCAGGAAAAGATGTGAAGCATGCACACTCACTACATGTATGTTTATTTAAAAATTATTTACATGCATGACTACTTGTATTAGTTGCACATACTAGAAGACAGAAGTTCTAATACTTTCTTCCTGTATCCCAATGGATTGTCCTGTATCCATACTTTTTTTTTTTTGGAGACAGTCTTGCTCTGTTGCCCAGGAGTGCAGTAGTGCAATGTCGGCTCACTGCAACCTTTGCCTCCCTAAGTTCAAGTGATGCTCCTGCTTCAGCATCCTGAGTAACTGAGACTACGGTCATGCACCACCACATCCTGCTCATTTTTTTGTATGTTTTCAGTCGAGATGTGGTTTCACCACGTTAGCCAGGGTGGTCTTGAACTTCTCACCTCAAGCGATCTGCCCACCTAGGTCTCCCAAAGTGCTGGGATTACAGGTGAGCCACTACTCCTGGCCTTGTACCTACACTTTGCAAGCCACTCGTGCTGCCTTGATGACATCTTGATCAGAGAAAGTGGCCTGGGGTGTAGGGGGTATGGCCTAAGTCTCAAAGACAGGTGGATTTTGATGCTTGTTTTCACCAACTACTGGCCTTTTTCAGTTGTAGTAACCTTTTTTTTTTTCTTTTTTAGAGTGAGTGTCTCACTCTGCTGCCCTGGTTGGAGTGCAGTGGTGCGATCATAGCTCACTACAGCCTTGAACTCTTGGTCTCAAGTGATCCTTCCGTCTCAGGCTTCAAGCAGTTAGACTACAGGAGTCTGTCACTGTGCCCAGCTAATTTTTTTATTTTTATTTTTGCAGAGATGGGGTCTTGCTATATTGCTCAATCTGGTCTTTTTTTTTTTTTTTTTTTTTCTTTTTTTGAGGCAGAGTCTTGCTGTGTCTCCCAGGCTGGAGTGCAGGGGCGAGTTCTTGGCTCACCTCTGCTTCCTGGGTTCAAGCAATTCTCCTGCCTCAGCCTCCTGTGTAGCTGGGACTACAGGTGTGCATCACCATGCCTGGCTAATTTTTTGTATTTTTAGTATACAGACAGGGTTTCTCCATGGTGGTCAGGCTGGTCTTGAACTCCTGACCTCAAGTGATCTGCCTACATTGGCCTCCCAAAGTGCTAGGATTACAGGCATTAGCCACCATGTTCAGCCTCATACTGGTCTTGAATTTCCACCCTGAAGAGATTCTCCCACCTCAGCCTCCCAAAGTGCACAGACTACAGGCATGAACCACTATGCCTGGGCAACTGTAGGGACTTTAATAGCAACAATGACTATTAGGTTGGTGCAACAGTAATTGTGGTTTTTGCCATTAAAAGTGTTGACAAAAACCGCAATTACTATTGCACCAACATAATAATACTTACCGAGTGCAGAGATAATAAAATTCTAACAGACAATGACCAGGCCATATGTGACAATAGAACTCTGACCGGAAGACCAGGTACGGTGGCTCACGCTTGTATTCCCAGCATTTTGGGAGGCTGAGGTGGGTGGATTGCTTGCGTTCAGGACTTCGAGGCCACTCTAGGCAACATGGCAAAACTTATCTCTACTAAGAATACAAAAATTAGCTGGTCATAGTGGTGTGTACTCGTGGTCCCAGCTACTCAGGAGGCTGAGGTGGGAGATCCCTTTAGCCCAGGAGGTTGAGGCTGCAGTCATCCGAGATTGTGCCACTGCACTCCAGCCTGGGCAACAGAGTAAGGCCCCATCTTAAAAAAANAAAAAAAAAAAAAAAAAGAAAAGAAAAGAAAACTACCTGTTGGATACTATGCTCAGTAGTACCTGGGTGACAGAATTCATACCCCAAACCACAGTATCACACAATATACTCATGTAACAAACCTGCACATGTACCCTCTGTATCTGAAATAAAAGTTGAAATTATAACAACAAAAACTCCAGTATCTTTTGCAATGCTCAGGGTTTTATGAGAGTGAAAGCTTTGCCTCTCCGATTCTAGCAAGAATAAATGGGTTGGCGAAATCTCTGCAGAGAGATGAGTCCCTGATTTTCCTCGGCAAAACTCCAAGTATTTTAACTTCTGTAATGAACTCGGATGAGATGTGATAAAATTTTAACAGGCAGACAAAAGGGACAGGGACAGAGTCAGGTCAAAGGTATATGTTATTTGAACCACGCTTGAGTGAAAAATGTATTGGAAATAAAAAATCTTTGGGGACCTAAGTACTGAAAATATCATCCATCTCTTTCCTTTCAGTTTGCTCAACCAACCAACCAAAGAAACTCTTTCGATAAAACTTTTGTAGTTTAACTGAGTTTTATGACTGGGAAAGATTTTGAGTGCTATCCAAGGTAAATTTCTTCTTTTAAAGTCAAGAACAGATTTATTCTTTGGTGACCGAAATGGGACTAGTACCCAGACCTTACGGTGAGCAGACCACACAGCCACTGAAGTGTAGTTTTGTTAGTTTCAGAAGCAGCTGGTATATAATAAACATTTAGCTGGTTATGTTTTTGCATATATAACACGCACTAGGTAGATCCTTAAAGTTTTAGTGTTATCGACTATGTTGAGAATCATGAAACTTACAGGCCTTTTCCCCAGAAAAATGTCTACGTAACATGCAGATGCATTTTGCATCTGATTGTGAGCTATTCATAAACCCCTGAAGTCTAGCTCGGGTGTGTCTGAGGAGAAGAGCTGGCTAGGGATACGGAGCAGTGTTTTTGAGTAGAAGGACCTGGTAAAGTGAGACATGCCAACTGGAAATGGCCACAGGCCTTGAGGTGATGTGGTTTTCTCTGGCTACACTTGCTCTTGCCTTTGCCCTTGGCTTGAGAAGGAGGAAGGTGAGATTGATTCAGAGTTGGGGATTGCTAAGCTGGGGCAGTGGGAAAACATATGTGCGTGCATGATCCTTAATAGCAGGTACTATTAGGAATATGTTTGAAATAAATGAGTAACCATGAACTCCAGGAAGAGGAGGGAAGGAACTCCAGAGAGGATTGAGAGGCATGGGTACCTGGGAAGACGAGAGAAGTTGCTGGCAGCTGGAGAATATGGTTGGAGTTGAGAATGGGAGAGGTAAAAAGCTAGGGAGCAGTAACAACAGGCAGGGATTTTAGTGCAGGATTGCAGGCGTGGGATGCTCCTCTGTGAATGCAGGGCTCAGTGTGTCACTCATTGAGTCTAGAGTGTCCAGTGTCATTTGAACACAGAAGTTACCCAGAACGCGTGCAGGAGCCGAGAGGAGGCACCTGGAGAATGCATGATAAAGGTAAAGGTTAATTTGGATCAGGGATCCCTCTGGCTTTAGAGAAAGCACAGAAATCTCTCTGAAGTTGAAATTTGCCTGGAAACTTCTGGATGGCTCTGAGGCTGTTTCCTCTACTTTGTTTCCTGTCTCCCACTCCGAAATACACACATGCTTGCCAGTCAGCCTCAAGCATGTACTTAGAGTCATTTACTGCTGCCCTGGCACCCTAGCCCAATGTCTCAGCCTCTGGCTTCAGTCCTGCAGCTGAGTGAATGTTCAAAAATTATTTTTGCAGACGCTTCCATTGATTGTGCTAGCTCCATCTGTAGTGTGGTTATAATAACAACCAACTCAACTGGATAGTCCATGAGATGCTCGGTAACCCAAGTTTCTTCCCACTCAGCCTCCCTCTTGCCCAACGTGTGTGGCTAAAAATCATCCCTGGTGCCTTTTTCATTTAACTGTTTTGTATCCACTTTAAGGTAGATTATAAAGCATGCGCCCTGAGGATCCGAATGCACCCAGGCACAGTATTCCAAGAGAATGAAATAAAAAGACTATGTTCTTTTTTTTTTTTTCCATGTACATTTCTATGTTAAAATCCAAAACTTAAAATAATACATAAGCAAAAACAAAACAACAAACTAAACCCCAGAAAACACAAAATAAAACAAAACTGCTAAAACAAAAATGAAAACTTTAATGAGATCAAAATGATGAGGGGAAAACCAGATCCACTTAGCTTTGCTGCCCGATTTTTATTAGTCGGAGGCCTGATTTCTATTTTAGACCCAAGGTATTAAATGGATCAACCAGGGGGGTTTGAATGCCAGCATTTTGAGTTCCTTGGTGTTGGGAAGAGGAAGAGGTCGTGGAAAAGCAGTAGGCAAATCAATCTGCTTCTTATAATGAAATCTGAACAGAGCTGCGTATGGGCCTAGAAACGATGACTGGGAAGGTTAGAATTCTCGCACGCGGAGAACCCCCAAGCCGGCTCAGCCCGGCCTGGCTCCGAAAGTCACGGAATCCGAGTCTCCAGGCCAGATTTTCCCTCTAGCCATTCCTGGCCACGCAGCACCGAGCAGCCAGCACACAGAAAGGGATGTCTTCATCGCCAACCGGGGAGGAACGAACCCGCCCGCTGGGGAGTGCTGAGAACTACCGGGTCCCTCCAGCGCCGGCCGCAGCCAGCATGCCCTGATTGCCCCCATCCTGCGCGGTCCCCACTCTCCAGGCACCCCGCCCTGCCCGGGTGCGCGCGCAGGAGCCAGGGAGCCGGGATCTGTGCGCTCGGTAGCCTGCGGGCGGCGGCCGACAGCCTCCCTTGCGGGGACAGGGCGGCCAGGGGCGGCGGGGGAGGAGCTGGCGCCACCACTGTTCCCCTCGGGCCGCGCCCCGCCCTCCGCTGCCACCTGCGCTCCCCCTCCGGGCTCCCCAGCTCTGGCGGTGTGGCTCTGAGTGCCGCAGCGGCGGTGTCACCGCATCCGCCAATTGGGAGACTCGGCGTCCGGTTCCCGGGGGCGCGGGACCAGCGGAGCGGCCCGATCTGGCCGGCGGAGGGTGATCGCGAGCGCGACCCTCCCCGCCGCGCTCCCCGCGACGTTTAGGGAGGGGTGGAGAACTGCTGTGACTTTTGAGGTCTGACTACCCCCGGCTAGCCTCGCGCCGCGCCAGCTCCAACACAGGCCAGGGTGCGCTGCAGGCCCGGGAGGCTCTCCGCGCGCAGCGGGGGCTCGGAACGTGTCCGGGAGCCAGCGGCGCTGTGCGCGCTGGTGAGTTTGCCGGCGGGGCTGGGTGGACCCCGCGCGGGGGGCGGAGAGGACGTCGTGCTCGGCCTCGCGCCCGCCCCCTAGTGCTGTCCCCACTTTGAGAGTAATTGAGACTTGAGCGTGACTGCGGAGCCTCGAGGACGCTGGCGCTCCGCGCGGGCTACCCCTATGCCCGGCGCGATGGAGCGGGTCGGTGAGCAGAACAAAGGCGCCCACCCAGGGGAGCGGGTCCTCGGCTGAAGAGCGCGTGTGGCGCGTCGGGACGGCCGCCTGCGGGCGAGGGTGAAGGCTGTGCGGCCCCAGGCGCGGCCGTGGGTGGGTGGCGGTCCTGAGCCCGGCACCTGCGCGCAGCTCCCGCTGCGCCTCCCGGGCCGCCGTGCCTGCCGGCCCCGGAGTCAGCGGCGCTGAGCGCGGCTAGAAGTCCAGAGGCGAACCCTTTGCTGGTGCAGAGCAGAGACCCCCAAGTTCCCGGCCTTTCAGTGAGACTCCTGGAAGGGGCTGCACGCCGTGGACTGGGCGGGCGTCTTGGGGAGCAATTCTGCAGAGCGGGGACTTCCACGTGAGCGGTTCCACGCTCCCCACTACTGTCCCGTCCTCCCAGCCATCTCTGCCGCCCAAGCATCCTTGCGGTGGGGCGCGCAGGGGCTGGGATCCCCGCCGGCCTCTGGTGAGTGAGGCTCGCTCGGCCCCTGGCTGCCCCGCGCGTCGCCGGAGCCCGAGGGGGCGCAGGTCCGGGGCGAGGGCCGGCCGGGCTGTTTGATGGCTTCACTGAGAAGAGTCAAAGTGCTGCTGGTGTTGAACCTGATCGCGGTAGCCGGCTTCGTGCTCTTCCTGGCCAAGTGCCGGCCCATCGCGGTGCGCGGCGGAGACGCCTTCCACGAGATCCGGCCGCGAGCCGAGGTGGCCAACCTCAGCGCGCACAGCGCCAGCCCCATCCAGGATGCGGTCCTGAAGCGCCTCTCGCTGCTGGAGGACATCGTGTACCGGCAGCTGAATGGTAAGGGCGCGGGGTGGCCGGGCACAGGGTGAGCCCCGGGGTCCCTGCGCGCTGCGCCTAGTGGAGACGATACCTCCTGGCTCCCGCGCGCTCCCTCTTACCCTTCCTGCCCCGTCTCGGGCAGATGGCTGGGGCTGCTGGGAAGAACAACTGCCTGGTTCTTTTCAGTGCCCCACCTGCAAGTTTGGTTTTATCCTGGAGATGTGGCAGTACAGTTAGTTGGCTCCCTGTCCCGGTGTGTGGACGGGAAATCATTCCCTGGCAACTCCAGCATGAGCGCAGAAACTAGTGGAGCGGCCAAATGGGACTGGAGGCGCGCGGGCAGACGTGCAGGAGGAAACAGTCTTAGAGCCCAGCGTTTGGTGGGAGACCAGTAGGGTGCCGGGAGATTGGCGGGCTTAGATGTCTGCAGACAAAGTCAAGGCCCCAGGTCGGGGAACTAATGCACTTCCGTAGTATATTGGATGAATATGTCATCTCTCTATGAGGGGAGCTGTTCAGCTAAGAATGAGGACTCCTCCCTTCCCGCCGCTGCCAGGGTTTCTCCTTGAGGGCTGCGGAGGGGCGATTGTTAAACTTCAAGGTGGGCCTGAGAAGCAGGTGTTTCCAGAATGTAGCAAAGCGAGATGTGGTATCCCATTAGTGACATTCTCAGAATCGGTCCCATCTAAAATATTCTCTTCGGTACTTCTGGAGAAGAGGGAGACTTTTTACATGCCTTGGTCACACCTGGGCCAGGTCATTGGACACTCGCTGTTCCCAACATCGGAGTATTATCTATGTGAGTGCAGGCAGGTTTCCAGGACTCCATGGGGTTATCCAAGGCAGATACATACTTAGACTGCCTGCTCTCTTTCTGAGCTTCTAACTCATGTTCTCAAACGAACTGCAGATAATCAACGAAGATCGTGATAATAACAACTGAAGGAATTCTTGCTGTGTGCCAGATGCGTGCAGAGACATTACAAGTGCATTGTTTCACTGTATGATCACATCTGTCCAGTGAAGCTCCACCCCATCCCCAGATGGGAAATGAGAAACTAAGCGAGGGGAGGTTAACTCAGTTGCCCTGTGTTAAATAAGATATAGCTGCACCCCAAACCACTGTAATAGGAATAATAATGGAGTGTGAAGTCAAAACCTTGTGTCTGGTTGACCACAGAGCCTGTGCTCTTGACCACATAGGCACACACTTCTATCCATGGTTTTCACCTAAGTAAAAGAAGTGTTAGGTTTGTTGAAAACAGAAATATGTGGAATTGCAAATACAGCCACATACCTGCTCACATGGGAGGATCAGGACCAACTGTCTTCGCTGTGGTGGCAGGGGGCAGGGAGGAGGAGGATGACAGGTGGTTCTCTTCCTGCTCACCAGTGGTCCCCGCTGGGTAACTTTCCTGGAGGGGTGGGATGGAGAGGGAGGGGTGGTCAGATATCTGGGCAGGTGAAAGGATACTGCAGTCTTCCTGATACCATTTGACAGGTATCCAGGGATGTCTTGAACTTGCAGAGTATGTGGCCTGGCTGTCAGGGTAGTCACTTAGAAGCTCTTCCCTCAGGTGTCTGAAATATGGCACAGAATGCAACGAAAACCCATAGTTCATTTCTGGAGGAATCAGAAACTTACGGGGTAGGCTTATAATTCGGGATAGATTCCTGCCTATACCCATAGGAACTTGAAGGATAACCTGGTTTCCCTTACTCATCAGGCTTTTCTCAGGTACACAGGTTATTTTAGTATCAGTTTGTTTTATGTTTTTTTTTTTTTTTTTTTTT